GGGCTGCCAGTATACCGAATACGACGGGAGGGGAGCACAGGACCTTTGAAAGCATGGCATCGGAACCATCTATTGCCCTTGCACGAGGCAGTACGAATTACCCAGTCAGTTTCTGGGGATGACTCCGGTGTAAAGGGAAAGAGAGTGGGAACCAGAGCGAAACCCGCCTCGCCCCTAGAGGAGGAAGTAGGAGATTCTGAAGAAGAAGAGGGGGGTATAGATTGGCTATGGTTATCAGGAGGCATGGGGAGTGTGCCCCAGGCTGTGGGTGGCGAGGAAGAGTTGGAACAGCCAGGGCCGAATAGTTTGGAATCCACATCTAGGATCTGCGAACAGGAGGGGCCCTCCCAGAGAGTCGAGGCCAGGGGCCAGCCTGGGGAATGGCCAGGAACGGATGGATTGTTGCCCCCAGATATTGTAGAGTCAGGAGAATGGCTGGAGGCGGAACCGGTTATTTCACGGGGTCAGCAATCGCCAGTGTTAGAAGCAGAGTTGCCAGTCCCGGGTACCTCTGAGGGTGGAGGTCCACCAGGGGATGGTGCCCATAGTACTATTGAACCTAAGGTGCAGAGACCGAGGCGGGTGATACGCCCGGTGAAGAGGTTAACATATGATGCCCTAGGACATGTCGTAGAAAAGGAGTGATGCCTACCTCTGGTGCTGTTGATAGGTAGAAAAGATCTCTATTCTTTGGGGGACCAAAGAAATGGTTGGTGGGGGGAGTGTGTAGCGGGGACTGCCTGAGAGTGCTTGCAGGAGCTTGACTGGGAAGGAAAAGATTGGGACAGCTGCAGTTGGCTTTGGGTGTGGCTGGCGTGAGTGGAAGAAGGAAGGATAGAAAAGGAAAGGAAAGGAGAAGGCCGGGGGGTTGGAGTTGAGAAGAGAAGGTCTGGAAGCTTATTTTATTTTTCTATCAAGGGTATTTTAAATAGAGGCTAGGTAGAGTAAAGTTTTATTGCTTCCTCCGTGGGAGGATATCTGAAACGGAGGCAAGCGAGAGTGTGGAGAAAGGGAGTTGGCTGGGGTTTCTAGCCTCGGTTTTTAATAATAAAGAGTAAGGGAGGGGGTGGTTTTTGAATCCTGAGACCTGAGGAGGACTTCTAGAGAAGAAGCACCAGGAAGAGAGAGACTGGTGGTACCAACTGTNCAACCATTGTGACCGGTTAAGTTCGTGCCTGAAAGTCCTGCTTCAACAAGAAGAGCCTGCCACCCATCAATGCTGCATGAGTTCCGGTTGTAAGACATCTCACCGATCTCTAAAGAACATTACCGCAAGGCTGGACAAGGGGGGTTGTGGCTGGGAGGGCCTGGGCATTGGCGGCCTCTGAAGAGGTAGCGCTACACTACATTCCCTACATGCTGGAGAAGGGGCGTTGTCTTACCTGAACGCCTTTTCTCAGCATGATTAATGTAGAATCCACCCCCTCCCTAGTCATTATTTGCAGTTAGGTTAGTGTCAGCGGTTCGGGAGCCATCACGTCACACAATCATTAGCTTCGTCCTTTCGAAACTGGGGCATGGTCAGACCCTGAAGGGGCGTGGCAACTTTGATTGTTTGGTCTGATTGGGCTAGAGGACTAAAACAACCCATTCGTGGATTCTACATTTTTCATGCTGAGAAAAGGCGTTCAGGTAAGACAACGCCCCTTTTAATTTATGTTTCACATATTTTTGTTTTCACAGCTAATTGCTGCAAGGTAAAATTGATAACTTGTTCTTTTTTTCATTTAGTTCTTTCCATACTGTGCATTTACTTCCTTCCATTTTTTCATCTTACAAAGAAGACATTTACTGCTTACTGTACAACTTGAATGCAATATAATGTAATCTGACTAGCCTGAAACTTTTAGAATGTTTCCTTTTTTGTTTATAAAAAGAAATAGTTACACTTGAAATATCAGCATCTTATTAGGCAAGAAAAACCAAATGTACAGGTATAGTATAGGGGGTACCTTGCTCAATAGTAGTAACTGCGAGAGGGACTTTGGAGTCCTAGTGGACAATCATTTAAATATGAGCCAGCAGTGTGCTGCAGCTGCCAAAAAAGCCAACACAGTGCTAGGCTGCATTAACAGAGGGATAGAATGAAGATCACGTGAAGTATTAATACCACTTTACAATGCCTTGGTAAGGCCACACTTGGAATACTGCATCCAGTTTTGGTCACCACGATGTAAAAAAGATGTTGAGACTCTAGAAAGAGTACAGAGAAGAGCAACAAAGATGATTAGGGGACTGGAGGCTAAAACATATAAGGAACGGTTGCTGGAATTGGGTATGTCTAGTTTAACGAAGAGAAGGACGAGGGGGGACATGATAGCAGTGTTCCAATATCTTAGGGGCTGCCACAAAGAAGAGGGAGTCAAGCTATTCTCCAAAGCGCCTGAAGGCAGGACAAGAAGCAACAGGTGGAAACTAACGAAAGAGAGAAGCAACCTAGAACTAAGGAGAAACTTCCTGACAGTTAGAACAATTAACCAGTGGAACAACCTGCCTCCAGAAGCGGTGAATGCGCCAACACTGGAAGTTTTTAAGAAGAAACTGGACAGCCATCTGTCCGAAATGGTATAGGGTTTCCTGCCTGAGCAGGAGGTTGGACTAGATTACCTCCGAGGTCCCTTCCAACTTTATCATCATTATTATTATTTGACAGAGAAGCTGTTCACAATATAACTGATTCAGTTAATGAGCATGCAATTGACAATGCTGTCTCTACTCCTGAAAAAAAATGCCTTTTTATGGAGACCTGTTCAAAACTCCTTTCAACAAATTGCCATAAAATCATACAATTGGAAAGGTCATTGAATCCAGCCCTTTCTCAGTGCAGGAATCAAAATTAAAGCATTCTCAAGAAATAGCTGTTCAGCCTCTGCTAGAAACATTTGAAAAAGGGGAGTTGCCATTGTCCTTTGTAATGGGTTTTATTGGCTGGCTGCTTTCTTTTTCACTTGTATGACTACCAAGCCAGATTTCTTCCATCTTATATCTGTATTAAAAAATATTTAACTTTATTATTTTCAATTTACCAAGCAAATGTGAGCAGCAAAATGAAGGGACAACAACACTGGGTTTGATAGAAACATTATAAGTAAATTATTTATTTATTTTAAGTTAATTTAAACTTTGAGGGACATGGGGATTGTTTATTGGAAAACTAAAGACCTTGCCAATGATATCGCTAAATGGAGAGAATAGTCACTCAAGTTACTTTTTATTACTTGGTACAATTCAAGTACCAAATATTCCCTATAGCCCCATCAATCAACCAGTCAGTTTATTATTACAGCCATAGGCCAACACATAAAATTAAACATTAAATAAAACAGAATTAAACAGAACCGAACGCAAGAAAGCATAGCAATATATTACAATTAATGATGTAATCAATGAGTCTGCCTAGTTTAACAGACAGTATAACAAAACCTTTTTACTTCAGAGAGATTGAGTCATACTGACCTGACAATAAAAATACATTGAGTATGGTCTAATACTGAATAAAAACACATAATAAAATTAATCATAAAAGATTATTAAAAAGATCTAAAATATTTATTTATGTTTCTGGCGAATCCCTGGTGCTGCTGCGCCACCTGCACCGTGATCACTGCCTGCTCATCCTTAAGCAGCCACTGTAGATAAATACTTTCCGTACGACCAGGGTACCTATCAATTATGGAGAGGATATGGTTTTTCCGAATAATTCTATAGAAGGAACATCGAAAGAGTATGTGTCCAATGGTCTTCATCTCTCCTGAGCCACAGGAGCAGAGTCTTTCAGACAATGGTGTCTTTTTATGCTTGCCGTACCGGACAGCCGATGGAAACGCATGGCACCTTGCGAGCAAAAATGCTTTCCGGTGGTTTACTGACTCCAACTGACTAAGATAACAGGCAGGTGTAACAATATATCTAATAGAGTCTGGAGCCAGAAATAGCAGAGCTAAACCTAAGTCCGCTTGCCTTTTGATGTCCTCTACCCTTTGTCGCAAAATTTGTTTTGCTTGGTCGTAGTCCAATTTGAGTAGCCCTATCAAATTTTAGAATCCTTTGATTTGGAAGACTGAAACTCTTCAAGAAAGTTTCTTTACAATGATCACTGGAGGTAGCAGACCAGTTAAATGAAATGCCAGCCAAAGTTGAGGGAATATTGTAGAGCCATCAATTTCACAGAAAACTATTTATACCTGGGAGTAAACAATAATAGATGGATAAGAGTATACCACAATCTATGTGGTAGTTTATTTGGAATTGCATGTTTTCCTGCAAATAAGCTGCAAAAATATGTTCAGGAAAAAAGCAGGCATGGCCATGATAAGAGGAAAGAAAGACCTTAATTCATGGTAACATCCTTAACTAATCAGCTCCATTGATTTTGGCATTACTGGTAGTCCTCGACTTACAACCACAACTGAACCCCAAATCTCTTGCTAAGCAAGACAGTAAACTAACTTATGACTTTTCTTGCCACAGTTGTTAAGTGAATCTCTGCAGTTATTAAGTTAGTAACATGGTTGTTAAGTGACTCTAGGTTTCCCATTGCTACTCAGAATGTCACAAGAAGTGACCCTGGGACACATGCCAGTTGCCAAACGTCTGAATTTTGATCATGTGACTTTGGGGCTGCTGCAGTGACTGTTAGTATGAAATACGGTCTTAAGTGACTTTTTTTATTGCTGTTGTAATTTTGAATGGTCACTAAATAAATGGTTGTAAGTCGAAGGCTATCTGTACAGAGTGTTGAAAATTCTGGTCAGTGCATAATAAGAGATCACTAAAAGGACCTGCTTAGTTAAAAATGAGCTGTTTCAATGTGTTGCCTCCTTTTTATATTTCTTTGCTGTTCTTTATCCATCTGTCATAAATGTTAGTGGTTTAATTGTTTTTAATGCAATTTTTCTTGTAAATATATGAATATGAAAATCCTACAGTGTAGTTATAATCAGATATAATCTAATCTTATCCCTTGTTTACTTAAAATCTACCTTTCCTTCTTTTACTAGTAATATGTTTGGTCACAAACCTGTGGATTATGCTGAAACAGAAGAGATGAAATTGCTTCTCATGCAACCAGGAAAGAATGATTCTTCTTCAATTATGCAATATGCAGAAGTACGTATTTTTTCTTTGGAATGATAATAAAGCTAGCCTTGTCAAGTGAGGGCGATATATAAATCTCAACAATATTATTTGTAATACTTCTCACTATTTTATGAAAGTACCTAAGTCATAAGAAATAAATTATAATTTAAGAAAAAGTTATAAAACAGAGGTTCTCAACTTTTCTTTTATGTGATCTTATGTAATCATTAAATCATAGAGAACCACTGTCTGGTGAAAGGAACTAATTAATTTTGGGTTTCCCATGCTATTAAATAAGCAGATTATAACAAAACAATGTAGCAAAAAATACAATAAGATTATAAAGTGAAGTAATAAAAATAGTGTTAGGCATAAGAAAGTTAAAGCAAGATAAAGCTAGAGTTACAACTAAGAACTTAAGTATTTTTCTAAGTTTAAATGATAACAGCAAAAGTAGCAATCTAACTACTAACAGTTGGAAACACAACTTTGAATAGTTAGTTCAGTTCAAGGTATGAGGCCTTGAGTTTACCTACCATCAATAATTTGGCCCAGATTTGTAAATGGGACAGTGAAGGATATAGTAAATAACATCTGACACTTGACCAACCCAGCAAGGAGAGAGACATGGTATAACAGGGTATTTAAAAAGATCTCCCTTTGAGATAGTCTGAGATCATGGTTTGTGGGTGAAGGGATGTTGAAGACTTTCTCAGTGAGGAACTGATAATATTAGTCAGGTACTGAGAGATATTTCTATGTCTTTTATGGTGATATTACCAAGATTAAAATTTGGATGACTGTACTCTAGTGGCATTTTTATTGGCATCTCTTTTGGAAAACCATGTTATAATATTTTCTCAGTTCCAAGAGATGAGTTCTCCCAAAGGTAGTAGGGAATACATTTGCAGGATGGATGATTAAAGTTTGGACCATTGATTCCCAACTGTGTAATGAAGAAAACAGAGTTTGGCAAAATGGGATTCTGGAAAGTTTCTAATTTCTGACAATGCCCTAACCATGCAAGATCCATTCTAGCAGTGATAGAAAGTAGTCTTTTCTCCAGCTTTAGATAAGCAGTGGGGGACCTCTGGAGGAAGCCTAAAAGTAAGCAGCCTTGTGTGACTCCGTTCTCCAAATAAATAGGGTTTTACAAGGACCCTTGTGGGACCATTATTATTTTAGCTGAAATGTCAGTATGTAATTCAATTATTAATTTGAGAAGTCACCTATTGATGTCTGTCCTTGCTAGATCTTTATTTAATTAACTTAAATTTAATGTTAAATGTTAAATCAAAGTCAAATATAAGATTAATAAACGTGACATAAAGTTGTTTTCTATGTCCATTGGTATATTTCTGAATAAGAATCTTCAAAGTGATGCCATGATCTACTATGTGGTATCCTTTTCAAAATGCCATCTGTTTTAGACGGAAGAATTTTGTTTCTTCCTCCCAATCTTCTAATTTATTCAGAAGATGTCTTCATAAAGCTTAAAAGAGGTCTAGCAAACTAATTGCACAATAATTGACCTATTGACCTTTTAAAGATTTGGTAGATTATACTTTGTTTCCAATGGGGAGATACAAACATGATTCTAACCTTCAAGTTTGCAAAGAGTGTTGGATTGCTAACATGCAAAAATGCCACTGTGTACATCCAGATAAAATATTTACACAACAGTGTGAAATAAATTACATTGTGAATAACATAATCCTTAATATTATACATAATAGCACTCGGGGTAGTTATATTTATTATTTTCTTCTCAAACAACCTGCAAAACCCTCATAGGCCATTATTGGTTCACGGACTATCAGTTAGGAAATGCTATAATAATATAATTCCTGCAGCAACAGTATGCAACTTCATATCAAATAATTGCAAGTCAATTGTACAATTTAAAAACAATAATGCAAGGATATTTAAATTGTTCCAAGATTTAATACCAAGATTTTCATATTCTAAATCTCCTAATGTGTGTCTTTGTCAAGGAAGCTCCCAGTGTCAAGCATTTACCCTCTACAAACACAGATTGGAGTTCATTGTAGAAAATGGCAGATGGCTATGTAGAGAACCTAGTTCTTACAAGAGAAGAATAGATCATTTATATTAGGATTCCCAGTATTAATAACACTATTGATCTGTCCCATCTTGACTCCTTGAATTTCATATCAAAAGTTGACTGGCCCCTCTTCTGTTTAATTTATTCTTATCCGACCTGGCCTTTTACATTGAACGCATTGAGTCCCATGCCCCAAAGTTGTTAAATACGAAGATTCCGCTTCTTCTTTATGCTGATGATGCGGTCCTGCTTTCACAATCAAGGCTTGGTCTAAAAAGATTACTTTCTGCATTTGGGTCCTACTGTGCTGAGAACCATTTGTCTATTAATTATGACAAATCCAAAGTATTGGTGTTCTCCAGAGCCCAGAAATCTTACAACTGGGCTATCAATGGTAATGTTGTTAGGCAGGTTTTCCATTTTAAGTATTTAGGTATTCAATTTCAGAATACTGGTGCTTGGACTAAACATCGAACCCAGGTGCTGAATTCGGCCTCCTGTAGCCATCAGCAGATTATAAGATTCTTTTTTACCCAAGGAGGCCAGTTTATTCCTTCTGCTCTGCGTATATATAAAGCCAAAACCCTGGCCCAAACTCTTTATGGAATTCCCATATGGATACGAGGCTTCAAGGATTGTATTGAAAGAACCCAGGCTGTTTTTTTTAGGAAACTTCTGGGTCTTCCTCCCTGTGTTGGATTTGCTTCGATCTACCTGGAACTGGGCATTCGTTCAGTCGAATGCATGGCGTGGATTAACACCTTCAAATGGTGGTTTCGGGTGCTCTTTTCGGCAGTCCCTGGTAGCTACCTCTCCCTGGTGTTTGCTGACTCTCATACCTCTCGTTGGGAGAGGGAG